CTACTACTGCTTCCCCCAACCGGTGTGGGTCTATCGAGGACCATAACACTACCTCCCATACGCCCATTACTACCCTCAGCTCTTCGGTGTTGGTTCATAGCGTCAACCATCAATATAAGGTGCCACTGTCGTTTTAGCATTTTTTTCATCTCCTCCACCTCCTCAGTGCTAAACCCCATACCGCAGTGTTTAGTAAATCCGACCATACCCTACCTCGGGTCGTGAGCCGAACCAAGACTAGAACTGTTCGCTCGTCCCAAGGGCTCTGAGAAGACTCAGTACACAACTAGCGCCCACATAAGTAGTCTAACCATCAACAGTTTCCATCAACGTCGCGACTTCATTCCTACACAAGAACCATCCCACCAAAACTTCCGAGATTTCCGATTACCCTTCCTCCTGCAGCTTCGTTCCTTTTCTCCTCAGAGTGTCCCAGGCTTCCTAAGCATAATATTTAAACTCTGCGAACGATAAATCGAATCATGGTTTCCCGAAAGCTGCCTAGATCTAGCAATGATCGAGCCTCGTCGGACTCACCGTAGACGACATTGACGTGGCTTGTCCGGGGACCGATAATGTTCCCGAGAGGAACTCATACTATTCACAACAATGGAATGAAATATATATTTCACGACTACTGCATATCACCGCGAATATCGCGTTTTTCACAGAGTATTACACCACTTCACGTGAAACGGGTGGTGAAACTCCAATATATAAACCAGTAGATTTCTCCAGTAACGAATCTTATACACTGTATCAGTGTGAAATGATATCATCATCGTAACTAAAGTATTGGTGTGTTTACAGTGCGAACCAAAGAGTTATGCGTATGTTTAGATTTCCGAGATGGTTTTATTCCATTTGATGGTATGGTTATAGACTACGTAACGCCTCTAAAACGTTGGTGTCATCAATCGATTCACATTGTTATCATGTTGATATTACTCAAAGTTGACTTTCGACAAACTCCCTAAAATTGAAGGCTAAGTTGAAAATACTACTACCTTGCATAACGGTTTGGTTCATCACACTCTAACATACAACCCTTGGGAACTTCAGTACTAGATGGATAACCGCCCCCCCCCTTAACACAGTACTCTCTCCAGACGTTCAACTTCCCTTCTGCCCTTCAACGACGCCAATGCCTTAGCACAGTTCTCTGCGATATTCTCAGCGGTGATATTATCATCCTTCTCCTCCGCTTGTTTGTGGCCCCCTCCGGTCAGCCTGAGCCGATACCCCCAGTGACCACGATTTGGAATTGGAGTGGTACGCGATATTCTTCACTGGGGTTCCTGCTTCAGCAACTCCATCCTTGTCCACCTGCCTCTGCATCACACACAGCATGGCTAACACGACAACTTACCCTTTCCACCTGTACTCCTCTAGCGCCTACTAGTGACATCAATAGGAGTATCCTACACATTCTCATTGAAACTGTTCATGATAACACAAGTCCCCTTCTTTTCGCAGGAAACGATTCACTTTTCCAACCTCGTGGGCTATTGGGGAAATCGACCGAGACGATACTCATCCTCACAGAGCTATCGATAATATGACGGCTTCATCAAAAACAGCTACGACTATGTATCGTCTATAAAAAAACTCAAGAAATGAGGAAGATCGGCCTCAAGGCTTCTCTCCATCCCTCATGCGCTTATGGATGTCCTCAACAACCACTGGTAGATCCTTGATACTGTCGATGACGTAATGCGCACCTAGAGTTAACTGTGAAAGCTATCCGTAGAGACGCTCTCACCTGAAGCGTTCAGCTTGTCTCTAGACATCTGAACACGTTCCTCTCTC